TCATACCCTGGTGCATTTTTCATGAAGTTTCAAGTGACTAGTATGATCCCCAAGGAGGCTTGCTGTATAGTTTTTATAGGCTTTTTATAGGCTATAGCCTTTAGGTCTGCCTCACTGGCTGATGAGTAGACAAAACTAAGGCAAAATATCTATTAAATAACACTGGAGAACATATATTTTCGAAAGTTTTGCTTCCTAAAAAACGTTTGGTGATTATGAAAGATTCCTTCAAGCTGAACATATAATTTCAGAATGACTGTATGACATAGGAATCTGGAGAAATATGAAATTAACGTTTAATCACTATAGCATGTTTAATCACATTATGTTAATTTATACATAACACAAAATTTCTGATACGTAGCACAAGTTCAAGAGGACTAAAAATGTTTTGCTGCTGATTTTTGTTTGACCTCATTGTCCAGTGCAACATATTGTTTTTCCATCGTGGCAATGTCCTAGTGAAACCACATCTTGCACAACAAATGTGAGGAGCCCATGCCTTGTCCTGATCACCAATCTTACAATGCTTTCTTAACAAGTCCAGTCATGGTGCGTCTTTGAGACTTAAAGTGACATTAAAGGATATCCCCCCCCCCCATGCTAGTGTAAGGACTTACCTTAAATGATGCCTCTTGATTCGATCATCTTCTTCTTTCCTGTATCCTGTTTTTAGGATTCCCTCCAGTGCTGGTACCGGTCTCTGATTCAGCGCTGACTCCTCTCTGTTCCTGGCACTTCCTGTCCCATGGAGTCTGTGCTGGAGCACGCTGACTCCATTATTGACTTACCTTGTATCTCTCCTTGTCTCCCGGCGGAGACACAGGTAAGTTTAAACCTTTTTCGTAACTTTTAAAAAAATGTTTTTGCATATAATGTATCAACTGCTTGCTAGCTGTAGATATATGCAAAAGCCACTGAGGGTTTAAATATCCTTTAAGTGTATACTCGCCACAAATGTAGCAGAATGTATCACGACTGTTTGGACATTGGTAAGACATTTCTGTTGTCACCAACCATACTGTAACAACTACAACAGCAAGTCTTAGCTGCATTAGGCCTAGTTGCTATGTTGCGAGCTGCCTTTAGGCCTTACAGCAGCATACACTAGGCCTAAGCATTCCCAGGCATGCCCATCCTGTACAAGTTCCACAAACGTTATGCAACCAGTCCTGTGTGCATGCTTGGACATGTATGAGCTACACAACATCATATAACGTTATCAAATATTAGAAAACATAAACTGTGACAAGAAAATACAAATATAAAATATTTTAAAATAATTTTATGTAATAGGTTTTAAATTTTACTTTATTTTCATGATTAGCATCCCAAAATCTATCAAATACACCCAGAAATGTTCAAGAAGCAAAATCCTGGTCATCCAGTGTAAGCAGAAGCATGATATAGAAGAAACAAAATTCATAACAGTTGGCTTTCAGCCCATAACATGTAACAAAAGCAGAGGTCAGGGTTGACAGTAGACAATCAAAAAAGAGGAATCAGACAGTAGTGAGTAAAGCCTACCAGATGGATGAATAATGTCAAGTGCTACTGCTGTTAAAGTCTTTGGCCAGCATTTATAAAGCAGCAGTATGACATTACCTTGGCGTTACTACTATGAAAAGAAAACACCACACATTTATAAAGCATAGTAATGTGCAAAGCCTTGTCACTTGACCAGTCAAGTCATGTGACCAGCCTCTCCTCAAATCACCAAAATTCAGCAGCATTAAGCAGAAACAACTCTGTTGGACACTACAGATTGCCTTTTATGAATGGTATGTAAAATGCAGGTACAGTATGGTTTAAACACTGCAGTGTCCAAGACAGAGTGGATAGTAGCATCTTACCCTCACTATAAATGGGCCCCTTAGTGTTGTTACCTGCAAAGTTCATACATGCCTACGAGTCAATAAGTACTATCGCTCCAGTTTTCTGGTTGTAAAGGGCTTCTTAAAAGTGGACATGCTATGTTCCAGCACAATTAGATTGGATAGAGTTTAGGGACCTTTAATTTTAAAAGACTGATAGGTTTACAATAACTGTAATAGCCTATATAAATCATATTTCATTATTCTCATAAAGCTAGACAGCTGGACACTGATTTTTCCTTGTTGCACTTTTTCACGGCCTCTTGCATTTTGTTACAAAATAACAGTATGAATAAGGGCCCAGAACGGAAAACAGTTTCACCTGGAGTAAAACTGACTAGGTAGTACTACTCAAAAAACATTTCAACATTTTTTCATAATGTTTCCTCTAATCAATTTGCCATTTCTTTGTTATGAACCTCCTAGTCATCTCTAGGTCATAAAATATTATTGCACAAAAAATTTAACAAGGAGGAGCAATTGTGGTACCATCAACTAGTAGTACACTTCTCTAGTCATACAGACTGACAAACTGTTTTCATAGGACAAAAAAACCTATTGTATTGACACATGTCCTTTTCAGAAGTCACTTAAAGACAGCAGAGTTAAAAAAAAAATAGCTCTGCAAGTCTTTATCGGTGAAAGGGTTAAGCTTCCTGCAGTTAGAACATTACGTGCCTAAACAGCATTCCTTCAAAGAATAAGCCATGTATTCTGGAAAGCACTATCTTATTCTGACATCTTCACACATTCACAACTTAAGGGCTATTGCAAGATCTACCAAGGTGGAATGTGAACTTTTAAGAACTGTAGTGTGACACTGGTATTGAAAACATTATTGTGAGTGGATTAGTATACTTGAATGCCCAAGTCACAGATGTATTGGGAGAATATACAGATGGCAGTGTGCCCTGTTTCTAGTATAATGCTCCATGCTGAAAACGAATGTGCTGTCATTTACTGATTATTACCCTAAACCTTTTTTCTCTTTCACAGGTTTTTACTGTGGTCATAACTGTTAAAACAGTCAAGGCACTCACTGCGACTGAATTCATAGGACCAGATCTATGGTGTCCCATTGCTGCAGGAGAAATGCAAAGCACAATTACATTCGTCCCACTATAAATCTAAAAATAAACACTACATAATGTGAAACAACCGCCCCTTGTGAATGAGTATGGGGGAGTTGTTACCCCTACTCAGCCACCAAATACAATAAAATTGTAAATATGCATAATGACAGCTCTGCTCCAAAATGCTATTTGGTATCAGATCTGTCATAAAAACAACTCTGCTCCCGAATGTCAACAAAGGGCGAGTCGTGATGTGGTCTGCCCCTTTGTTGACATTTGGGAGCAGAGCTGTCAATGCTAGCATTAGGGAGCTCCCGAATAGCATTCAGGAGCAGAGCTGTCATTATGACAGCTGTACTCCCGAATGTCAACAAAGTGGCGGAGCAAGTTGTGACATCACAGGACTTGTTCTGCCCCTTGGTTGAAATTTGGGAGCAGAGTTGTTATTATGACAGCTCTGCTCCAGAATAGCATTTGGGAGCCCTGAATCCGAATTTCTATTCGGAACAAAACGAATCTTTCATGTCTAATTTTTACCACATTCACAAAACTAAAAGAAAATTCCCTTGCAAAGTAAACAGCCTATTTGCCTTTAGTATATCAACCCCTTTTGCAAGTAAAATTGCTGCTCCGGAACTAACATTAGGATGCATTCAAATACAATACTGTGAGTGTATACAACTATGAGTGGACACAACTCACAGCGAAAGCACTGTCAAGAAAAAAGAAATTTCGATTACTTACTACAGTATCAAATACACTTAATCCAGAATGGTTTTGAGTCAAAACATGGCTGATGGAGAAGCACCAAACATACATCAATCAGACATTTTTTGTTACTGCATGTGGTTCAAAGACTTGACCTTTAAAGGAGAACTATGCGATGAGTGAAATACACTCACCCAATAGTTAGAGCAGACCTGTGATGCTGCAGCTGTCACACGTTGGCTCTATGGATCGAGATCTGAGCAGTTACATAAAGCTGATCGCTCAGTTCGCAATCTTCTTCCTGCAGGGAGTGGTGACTATCAGTTACTGCTCCCTGCAGGGATCGCTTCTCCTCTCTCTGTTCCTCCAGCACTGACTGGAGGGACAGACAGGGGAGGGGGTGGGCAGGCTGGCTCTGCCTTTAGAGAGGCAGAGCCAGCTGTCAATCAGGTAACAAGGTGGATCCCGACAATATTGTCGGGATTCTTCCAGGCTGCAGCGCGGCTCTGCACTGTCAGCATATAGCGGGCAATAGCCCCCTAGTTTTGGGTCACAGGAGGACATTAGTAAATGTCCTTCTGTGACCCTAAAGAGAACTATGGCCAAAAAAGTTTTGGCCATAGTTCTCTTTTAATGAAAGACTAAGATACATATTATTCATAACCTAATGTTATACTTCTCTCTCAATCATGCCACCTGTGCCAAGAAAAAGAATGGACCTGGACTAAATTCTGCATTGTGAGGCTGACATCCTCCACTCTCTCTGTAAACAGTTAACTTAGTAGGACAGAGCATCTGTGTTTACCCTTTGATTAGGAGCAGAACAGACAGAAAGTATGTATTGGTAACAGACTACTATGAATAGACTGACATCCTCAACAAGTATCACAAGATGCTAACCTATGATGACTACTGCAAAAATAGTTCAAGTGTTATTATAATCCACTGCAAATATAGTGCAAGTGTTATCCAGTCTATGGAAGAGCTGCTGGGTGGAACTTCTACAAATCATATATAAGAATTAATCTTCTGTGATAGATATGTTTTTTGTTATATTTTGCTTCACCTCCGTACATTTAGCAAAGTAGAACCAATTAGAGATCAGCTTTCAGGATTCGATCTCTTCTCTAGGTCTGAATCAAAAACATAATATAGGACAGATGGCTGTCAATGTAAAACATAATATCAATGGATCCAAGTGGTACACATCAGGTTTTGAATTGATGCAGTGCCCTGTCCAAGCGATCAACTGGAAACAATGTTACCGTATTTATTTTGCCTGTTTTATGAATATAAAGAAATATCTGTTTTCTGATAAGCATACAACTGCTCTACTAGTACTAACCTGGACCAGGCACATCTTCTCCAGAAGCATCTCCAGCCCAACGACTTGTGTTGGATACAAATGCAGAGCTGGAAATATATTGTTTGGGAGGTCCCTCATAGTCCACAAGCTCATAATATCCAGGACCTGGAACACTTGGTGCCTTGAGAACTGGTACTGCAGGAGCTGAGAAACAAAGGTAATGTTTCCTCCTGAAATACAACAAAGGTTTCTGACCTGGTCAGTATAATTTAATCTTGAGGCCAACCTTTGTATAACAGAGAAAGATCATTTCAATATAATGAAGATGATGATAAATATAATAAGAAAATATACATTAAAAAAATATTAAATGTATAAATATAAGAAAAATGTGTTCCAAAGTAATTTAAAAAAACCCCAAACATTTATTTTGTTATATATCTGTGTTGAGCAGGCCTTTGGATAGGCTGCAAGCTTTACAATTTTATAGTGATAGGAAACTCCTGCTGTCCTCATAGAAAGACTAGGGACACTCTGTGCTTCCTCCCATTAACATGCAATGCTTCTAGATCTTTGTTGGGATAGACAGTGTTTCATCTAGTTTACAACTGATAATGAGATCTGCTATCACAGTACAGATAGGGTTAATTATGGTATGTAGTCTAAATTGCTTAAGTCTCTGTTCTGTTAAATTACCTTCCTCTTTATAGCTTTAGGCTTTCAAAACTTCTCAACAGAGTCCAAGCCAATATATTAACACCCACAGAAATCAATTTTCCCTCTTTATTACCAAACTACATCTGAAGATTTTACTGGTGTACTATAAGTATGAAAGGAAATAGATATTGCCAGGCACCATGTTTTTGTTAGGCTTTCACTAACCTATCTGCCCTATAAATTTAAGTATTTCTAAAAGTTATTTCTCTTTTATCTTTCTTTTGAAAACTCTTGCTGATATCAATGATAAGACTTTCCTATGAAGATTCCAGCGCTGCCAATCCAGCCCTTTGCCTATATTACGTTAATGTAATATCTTGTGTTCCCTAATACTTAACAACAATACACCCAGTCTAGCCATGCTTCCATGTGTGCCTGTGGACAATCATTTGAAAGGCAGGGAAAGGAAAGTGACCACATTTCTTTTCCTATATTGGAGCAAACATTCTCATGTTAAGGAGGTGAAGTCATACTTCTTGTGAGAAAATATTCTTTCTGTGATGCCTGATAGTTTTAATATTTCATTGGGGAGAACCGGGTGGCAACCATCCAAAGATAAAAAATCAGTTTGGAATGAACTTTGTAGTAGAGGGTGGATAGGTCAAAAATGTTTCATATCTTGAAAACTGAGATGATATTTCAGAGGAATGGTGTGGGCTTACTGTTGTCAGAAGAAAGAAACACAAGGTGAAAGAAAATGAGCCTGAGGTGACACATAACTAACACTTAACAAGCTGAAAACTGTTCCTACAACACCTGGGTATAGATCATAAAGCACTCTCGGTCAAACTTACTGTTCTGATTGTGATTACTTAAAAAGTCATTGCTATATTACAAAATATGTGTAAGTGTATAAGAACAAACTGCCTAAAGGGTCATATTCTCATCCTCGGAAATATCTATTTGGGCTTTACTGAACAGGAACCCTTTTACTTAACAGTCAGTTATAACTGCTGAAAGTTCCTAATCTTTGAATGATTTTGTTAAGAAGTTATTTCCGTTTCACCATTGTCAGCAATCCAAATGTAAAAGTATCTAAACATTTGTGGAGAAAGATCATTAAGTGTGTTTGCTTAGTTAATCTTATTTGGCATTACACGTATCAGCATGTGCCACTACTTAGAGCACAGACTCGATTGTAGGCCATGGCATGCTTACATACTGTATCTGTGATGGAATAAGAAAGCTTTGTAAGTATAATATACAGCAATTGAGCTAGCAAAGGATAAACATACCCAAAAGATGGTACCTGCACTACTCACCTTTCTCCAAGAAAGGAGTAGAAGCTCTTTGGTCATGGAAATTACTCTGGGGCAGCAAAAGGTGTCCCATATAAATGTATACTGCTTTATGTCGTTTGTATATCTTCTGTCACAGAGTTAAAGTGACACTAAACTCAGGAGTTAAAACTTTAAAATGCATTCAAGTACCCTAATTATTAAAGCAGACTTTTACACTCAAAAATCTAATTCTCCCAATGCATCCCTCTATGTATGATGATTAATAATAACATAGACATGTCAGGTGTAAGATGCTGTGATTTTGAAATGCTTACACTTGCAGAGCATTCACTTCCTGCTTTGAAAGGGCAAAATGACTTCAGTCTGGCAAAGCAATGCCCACTGGGATTGCCTTGTCATCAGCAGAGCATTGCTGGGAAATCTCATCTGTTATCTCAGGAGATCTAAGGGAGAGGCATTTTCCTCCCCTGAGATGATGTACATGGTCACATGTCCTTTTCACATGTCTGGTCACATGTGCCAGAAATCCAGGAAGTAATAGGAGAGCTAGTAATCTGCCCTTAGTAAACTTGGCCACTGTCAGAAGACTGGGGCAGAAAAGATAAATAAGGTATGCAAAGAAAACAAAGCCTGCAATTATCTGTTTAACCTCCCTGGCGGTAATCCCGAGTCTGGCTCGGGGTGAATTTTCCATGCTAGGAGCGGTAACCCCGAGCCAGACTCGGGGTTGCAGAGAAAAGTGACACTCACCTTGTCCCTGCGATCCCGCGGCGTCCTCTGCTGTAAGCGGCCCGAAAATGAAACTAAAAGCCGACATTTAAGCTTTCAAATGTTAATGTAATTGCAAAAGTTGTTTTCAGTCATTTTAAATATGTATAGTGCAATAAAAGAATACCTGGGAATCCTACCATTAAAAGTCCTTGTTCAGGAACTTCCTGTCAAGGGGTGACAACTGTCTCCTGTGCTCCTGCATTACGGCCCAGTCACATGTGCCCCTGATGGAGACAATGCTGGATGGAAGGGTGCTGTCAAGGCCACCCACTAAAAAATGTTGTCCAGTTCCTCAAGAACCAAACGAAATTCACACAGTGTATGCCCAGCTTTAATGTCATCTAGTTAGGGGTTAGATCTACTTAAAAAAATATTTTACATTGGTATCTGCCTACTGAAATATCCTGCACAGCAACCGAGACTAGAACAGGGAGGGGCAGCATTGTGAACTAATAAGGCTCTGCTGTAATGTCCATATGCTATCAGGGAATGTACTGAAATGAAGAGAGCGTAGAGTGATAGAACAAATGTCTTGTTGCACTCCTTACCGGATAAGAGTAACCTGGTATACAGGAAAGTGCTCACAGTGACCACGGATGGCACCATGAATAAACTCAATCTGTAGAAATGTCACCAGCACACCAATGTTTCAATGAAATAAGCAAAAGTCCATTTATTAAAGGAACATTGCCATTCAAAAACAAGCGCTTTCGGGGCAGCCTTCCTCAGGCTCATTCTGGTAGGAGCAACCCTGCAGACAAGCACACACAGCCAGCCATAGAGGAGACAATAGACATATATGAGGAGTAAGGGGTGATCAATGGTACCAAGGAAAAGATGTAGTTGATGATTTTGGTGCACTGAGCAGCAGTGAGAAGAGAAATACCCCCATTCCCAGCATAACCAATCATTTATTGTATGGCTGTAGACAGTCACACCAATGTTTAAGGAATAAGGAGTTAGATTTTGGAAATACAGCATTGTGATAACTCACGGAAAAACGGTCTTCTTTCCTATTTCAGGGCATCCAAATGGGTCATAGGTGGCTGGTCCTGGGTTATTCAAGGCCACATTCAAAACATCCCGAGTACTCTTTGACTTAAAGCATGACACTAGAACCTTGGAAGACTCCTTAGTTAGCGAATCGTTGACTGTATAGTGACCTAAAACAACATAATGTTCATTTAGTTAGGGTTTACTTTAGGAATGTTAAGCCACCAGTTCTTTTATGTCTTCTGGGTTTGCCCACTTTGGTAAATTACAGCTTTGCAGAACTCAGAGCTTTGTAACTCTATGGCACTAATCTAAGTGACACTGTACTTATTTAAAAATGTTTGCTATGCTTTCAATCCTAAAGCTGTATATTTACAATCATTTTTAAAAGTATTGTACATGTTATTAAGCAAACAGCCGCATTGATTTGTATGTCTATAGTAGACTTCCTACTAAAAGCATCCAATATAACCAGATTTATCAGCATGTCCTGAAAAAACACAATCACTAACCCTATCTAACCCCATTCATTTCTTGAAAACTAGTGTATACAGAAATAATGTTTAACTTTGTTGCTAAAATAAAAAGTTTAAAAAACAGCCCATGCAAATAAGATATCTGAAAAACGATGTTTATTTAACCAGTTGACATCCGCGGTGTTAAACCCCCTTCCCATCCAGGCCATTTTTCAGTATTCAATTGTTGCTAAAATAAAAAGTTTAAAAAACAGCCCCTGCAAATATGGTGTCTAATACTGACCTCTCCTTTTGCCCACACTGCTGACTGCTCAGAAAAAAAATCTCCTGAAGAATCCTCTGAATCTGACTCTTCCAAGAATGTCAGATTCCTGTTCCCTGCTACATGCTATGGTTACTCGCAGCAGCCTCCTGCACACAAATTCTCTTCTGCCAAAAGACTGCTTCTTCTTAGTTTTTTATTGCAGGAGTACATGTACTGTACATCATAAGTGACCACTCAATAGCAGACATGAAAGACACCATACCCAGAAGTAGACTAACAGAAGATCTCAACGGTGGCGACAAAGTGATGAAGGAGATTGCTGGAGGGGGCGCTTTGACTTGCACATCATGGCAATCGCCTTCCCATCATGTAACACCTAAGTTCTGCTTTAAGAGTTAACGGGTTTCCAAACCCTCCATTTTCTTGCCTATATCTACTGCTAGCAAGCAGTTCTGGCCACATATACATTAAAATCGCATTTTTTGTTGACTTTGACCTGAATATGTGATAAGATATACCGTACTTTTCGCTCTATAAGGCGCTCCAGTCTATAGGACGCAGGCATTCTGTGACAGGGATTCTGTGACAGAAGCTGCATTTCAGTGACTGCTGAGACAGGTGGCGCTGTGATTACAGCGCCACGGTCTCAGTAATCACACAGAGCAGACGAAGAACGATGTTCTTCGTCTGCTCAAGGGGCTCTATGGTGAGCTCCTATGCCGTGGTCGCGGTCCCCCAGAGGATCACTTGTATTAAACGAGCAGCGGCTCCCACTGTACATTCAGTTCTGCTTGTCATGAGCAGGGCTGAATGTACAAAGAAACTACTCACCCGGCGCCCGAAACTGCATGTCCCGGGCATCGGGTGATAGGTATTCGCTCCATAAGACGCAGGCACATTTCCCCCCTCCTTTTGGGGGAAAAAAAGTGTGTCTTATGGAGCAGAAAAATACCGTATTTATCTTTTTATTCTGGGATGCTACACATGTGTGTTGTTAAATAAGAATTAAAATGGGATGCTACACATGTGTGTTGTTAAAAAATAATCATAATGGGATGCAACACATGTGTGTTGTTAAATTAGAAATAAAAATGTTATGGTTTTTAATGCATATTCTCAAAAAGAAAAAACACATGCACAGAACATCTACATCCAAAGGGAAACACGTTCAATTTCAGTTTCAGTCTCATTCCCGCCATAAACCGATCGATTAAATTGGATCAATTTTTCTAAACAATCAAAATATTAAGGCACCATAAAAAGCCACCAAATATTACGAATTGTGTGTGGTCAAAGCATTGCATTGTATTTTTACAGAGCTAAAATGATGAGTTATCTATATGTAACTTAAAAGGGAGAGTTTTCTTTTTTAGTAATCGGTTTCTTGAACTAAAAGTATACACATCCAATTGTATGATCCTCTATGACAGTCTAAACAAGTACTAAATCCAGTTACTATGGGATGCACACGCTTAATAAGTAAACGTAAAACTTCCTTTACCCATCCTAATTGAACCAAATCCTCCTTACCAGACACTGCAGTGTCCCTTACCAGACACTGCAGCATACAGTGGGAGGGTTTAAGCAACAGAGGTAGTGCTGTAAATCCAGAAAGCAATGGGCAGGACTAGGTGTGGCCAGGTGCTGATTGGCAAGCTGCAGTCTTGTGTATCACTAGGAACAGTGCTAATAGCCTCTTGGAGCCACTTGGTCATCAAGCAGACACAGCTCACAGGACAGTGGCAACTTTGTTTGGAATACAAGAGCAGTGCAGCATCATTGCCACACTGCAGCCTACAGTGGGAGGGTTTTAGCAACAGAGGTGGTGCTGTAAATCCAGAAAGCAATGGGCAGGACTAGGTGTGGACAGGTGCTGATTGCCAAGCTGCAGTCCTGTGTATCACTAGGAACAGTGCTAATAGTCTCTTGCAGCCACTTGGCCATCAAGCAGACACAGCTGGCAAGATTGTTTTTGCTCTTCCTCTATGGGCAGCTCTTGCTTCCTCCCCTGCTCCCAACATCTCCACCCCCTGCTGCTGACAAATCACACACCACTGTAAGACTGCCTCACACACCACTATCAGTGTATGCCCATGTTAGGGGTAAAGCTAATGGGCACAGTGGATAGAAGCACAATCCAACAAAGACCAAACAGCTTTCATTATATCACAAGATACATATAATAGAAATCTATTGGCCTTTAATTTGCTGCTTAGACATCAATCTTATATGCGGTATATGTCATTTTATAACCATATATTATATGTCTTTATGAAGATTTTCATGTCAAGTGCATCCTGGTCAAAAAAAGACAAGCTAGGACTGCACACATGCCACGCTTATACTTATCATCTGCTGTTGGTGGTCAAGAGTTTTCAGTCATATGTAGGTTAAATTTCTCTAATGATGTAGATATTATTGTTGGGTGGGGTTGTAAACTGAATATCCTTCTCTTTAAACATTTGCTCTAGGTTTAAATGGAATGCTGATGCTATGAATCATTTTATATAGAGAACTTACAAGGTGAAGGTCCTTTAAGAGGGTTTAACAGTACAGCCTCTCTCTTTGTTCTTGAGACAAAAGCAGCATGAGCAGATACATTGTTATTGGGTTGACAATAATTTATAGATGCCTGGAAAAAAAAACATATTTTCTAAGAATGTACAAATGGATCTTACAGGTAGAACATATATATTCTATATAGTCAAGATTACTACACTAGAAACGTCAGCTAAAGTGGTCATAAATAGCTGACCACATACCATCTTCCAATAATAACATCATTAAAGAATATTCCATTCTCACTGAACACTGTACTCCGATATATTTTTTTTGTGTGGATCGTTCATATATCGTTATATATTGGATGTTCCTTTACTGTTATAATTGAATTATTAATATATTTTTTTCCTTTGTTTTATGATCCCATGTAAGATTTCTTTCGAATTGTTCAACATGGGGTTTTAGGCCAGATCGCTTAAACCCTAATTTCACTTCATTACCTGGTTGCACTAAGTTTTATACCACTTATACCTTTAGCGCTTTGATATATATTTCTTTACCGCTGAAAGGATTTTTCCATCCTCTTTTAGAGCTGCTTTAGGTCTTAATTAATAACACATATTTTTACTTTAGTCTCTTTTCCAGGAGCGCAGATTATCTATTTCATATGTAATGCAATAGCCTGCTTCACTGAATACGAATTAAGGGGGTTACTCACTCAGCTGCCAAAGGCAGCCAAGTGAATAACCGAGCCGAAGTGAAGAGAGCCGAACGCCATTCAGCTATTCACTTCAGTGCTGTATGGCTGATTTCATAGGGGGCCGAACGGCATTCGGCTCAGTTATTCTCCTTGCTACCTCCTAGGTAGCGAGCAGAATAGAACAAATGTAAGCAAAATAATTTTTTGAAAAACGGTGTGGGGTCCCCCTCCCAATCCATACCAGACCCTTTAGGTCTGGTAGAATAGTTCGGAGGGACCCCAAAATGAAAAGTAACAAAAAAAGGTGCATGGGGTTTCCCCGAAAAGTCATACCAGGCCCTTTAGGTGTGGTAGGAATTGTAATGGGGAGCTCCACCCAAACAAAACAGGGGGGTAAAAAACGTGGCCACCCCCCCCCCTAAAATTCCCAACGAGACCCCGAGCACAGGTTTGTTTTTTTTTATTTCGACGAGTCGGCAGAGTCGTGGACAGCGCTGGACGTCGTTATTGACCTTTGGATTACGGCGGTGGATTCATTTTTTTATTTTTGGTATTTTTATTTTTTTTATTAAAGGACTTGTCAAAAACCTTTGTTTTGTTTTGTTTTTCAATTAAAGGTTTTTTTCTTAAAGTTGTGGTGGTGTGTTTGTTTATTTTTTACTTTTAACCCTTTAGTGAACAAGTACCCCTTACTCATCCACAAGGGTGGGGCAGCATCTGGTTGCCCCCTTCATGACAGGGGGTACCCCGATGCAAATAAGCCTTCCTGTCCATAGACCCTCACAACCAACAGGTCAGGGCTTGTGAGGAAGAGGCACTTGTCCCCATCGGCACAGGGACAAGGGGGGACCCTGGAAAAGCACACCCAAGGAATTTTAGGGGGGATCCCATGTATTCTTTCCCCCTTTTTTGGGGTGGAGTTACCCCTTAAAACAGACCTAAAGGACCTGGTATGACTTTTGATTTTGAACCCCGCGCACATTTTTTTTTTAACTCTGGGGGTCCTGTGACGTGTGCCCGGCCCAAACCCGCTGTACGTCAATCCCACGTGACCATACACAACTCTGAACCGAATGTGAGCGTCACAAGGACGTGGTGATACCACTCTCAGCCTCACCCTGCACAGAGATTTCCCAGCTCGCAGGACACAATCTCAGGCCTGCAGACTGAGAGCGATCGTCACCAGGGTTGGTAACTCCGCAGTTAACCCTTTACAGACAAACGTTCACTGCCACCTTGTGTTTTTCGTAATGGAACACAAAACCGTGCTCAGCAAATGCTGCGACAATTTAAAACACTTAAACAATGCCTGTAATACCGCTGTCCTCTCAGACAGGAATATGACAGGATTCACTATACAGTAGTGCTCTTCACAGAGGCAAGTATACTTTAAGTTTGTATTTAGTACCTAGAGATAAGCGTAACGGTTTTTAAGATCGTCCTTTAATAAAAGAAACGGTGCAGAAAATATACAGAAAAAGATTTAATAAAAAGAGACAAAATATATAAACAACAGTAAAATAAAAGGGAATAAAAGGAGAATACTCAACAGTCCTGGAAGAAGGAGTTCTGACAGAGTTTAATAAGCAAAGGGGAAATCTGCAGGGCTCTTCTTCAAGCAAGCTTCCAGCAGATAATGTCCGAATATTAAAGGGGAACTCTTCTGCAATGTTAAAGGAGAACTATGGGGTTAGGGCTTTTCCCCATAGTTCTCCTTATGGTAACGGGAGGACACAAACTAGCGTCCTCCCGTCACCCTAAGCTTTCATTGTCACAAGTCAGCTAGAACTATGAGGATGAGTCAAAAGCACTCACCTCATAGTTCTCCTTTAAGTCTTCTAGTTCCTAGATGATGTTTTAAAAAACCAAGAGTCAACTCTAGTCGCCTTGACAGAATATTTTATAAGCCCATTTTGGTGGGTGTCCCGGAGCCGGCCCTTAGGGCAGGGCTGGGGAGGGAAAGCAGGGAGGATAAACCTTTATTTTTCACTATCCCCACCCTATTCCAAATTATGAAATGTAGCTTATTTTGTAACTCAGGTTTTATGACTTTCGTGTGAATGCGGGGTCACCACCTCTCCCAGACCTGATTGTTTATATTAACTTGTCCACTGGTAATCGATGAGTGCTTGGTGCCATGCCTTTAATTAGGGACAGCCATAAAAGGCTTAGAGAGATATTTTGGACTTTCACTAGTGCTGGGGCAATAAAAGATCACAGCCAGATAGCAGATCTCTGTTCTGTGGAATGTGGAAGGCCTGGCAAATGACTAACTGAAGGCCTGTATTTGCTTTGAACTGGGTGGACAAGAGAATGCTATTTTTAATATTCAGACTCAGACCCCATTATCGTCACAGGTGCTTCCTAACTTTCCTACCAGACCTAAAGGGTCTAGTATGGATCAGGAGAGGGACTGCGCACCATTTTGTTTTCCTTTGTGATATGCATATGCGTTTGGCTCAGCTGAGCTGTTCAGCTGCCTTCAGCTACTGTACGGGCTATTGCGAATAGCCCCCGCAGCAACCCTTAGGTTCGGCTAAAGTGAAGGGCTCTGGCGGCTGAAGTGAGCCGAAGGATTAGCCGAGGCTACAGCTATATGCTTTGGCTCAATAGTGAATAACCATCTAAATGTTTTGTTTAGGTAGTTTCTAACATTATGTGGTTTGGTAAAGCTAACGTGATTTGTGACATCTGGGTGAAAATAACATACACTTACATTGTACTGATTTGGAGGTGGTGTCTGATATTTTATGTCTTCCACGTTTGTAGCTATTGGCTGATGGAACATGCTAGAGTTGCTTTTGTTAAAATCCTGTTTTGCAAACAGGTCACCTTTAATGTTGTATGAGTTAGGTGCTGGGGTCCGACTGACCTTAGAGAAGGAACTTCTGCGTACCTAAAGAATAACAAAAAGAGAGGAAAGCATAAAATAAACAGTGCTATAAACATTTAATTTTATGGAATACTGGTTACTGGAACAAGTCCATTTTACAGTATCAAATTATTATATTGATAAATGTGTTCCACACAGTCAAAATAGTTAAGAAAACATTGATCTAAAGCTGTGCTTATTTGATGTGCAGTGCATAGGGCATCAGGCTTGCTAAAAACATAAAATATGTACAGTACGTTAATGGAAGTTTCCAAGGAGTGGTTATTAACCAGTTGACATCTGCGGTATTAAACCCCCTTCCCATCCAGGCCATTTTTCAGTATTCAGCGCTGCGGTACTTTGACTGACATTTATTCCGTCATGCAACACTGTACTGAAATGAATTTTATACAATTTTTTAGGGACAGATAGAGCTTTCTTTTGGTGGTATTTAATCATCACTGGGATTTTTATTTTTTACTATATTAAGGGAAAATTACCGAAATTTTTTTTTAAAAAGAGCCTAAATATTTAAATGATAAAAGCCAAAAACAGACATTAAATAGTACAGAGCATTTACAACAAAAGAATTTACTTACGAGAAAGTTTTTCCATCTGGTGCTTCTGTGGATTCTTCCCCTGCTTTCTCTCCTCATTGCGCAGGGGAGATATCAGTGGGGGATCAGGAAAATGATCAATTAGAGATGTTTTAAAAAATAGTTTTATCTCTATTTAAATTACAGTAAAAAAAAAGTATGTCGGGGGGATGCTCACTGGGGACAGTATGGAGTCCATACGGTCCCCATTGAGCATCCCCCCACACATTTTTACTATAATTTAAATAATAGAGATCAAACTATGAGATTACATACTAGTGTGGAGGCAGGTGGTACACAGGTGTCACAGATACTACTTTCAGTATATTCAGTATTCACACCCCCTCTTCTCCATGACTTCTATAGTACAGAAGAACTGATGGAGAAGAAGGGGAGAGATATACTGACCTACAGTGTCACAGCACAGTACCTGCAGGCTGCAGCTCTCCCGGCTCTCTGTCGTCTGGGTTGGATCCTGATTCCCGCCAAGGAGCAACTCACGTCATCTGGACTGGACCTCAGGACCCCTCTCAGTCATCTCACCTCACAGCCACACCTCTCTTGTCACGCTGTGCTGCCAGGCTGCCTGCTGGGTAACGCAGTCCTTTGGCCAGCGGCAGCTCTCTGGCTCCTCAGTCCCATGAAGAGAGAGCTGCCGGCGGGCAGGGCCACATCTAATGATAATTAATTATCATCAGGCAGGCCAGAGATAATTCCGTTGCCGGCCGGTTCTGGCCAACGGGCCTTGAGTTTGACACATATGTTCTAGGCTATCCGAGGCAGAGGGTAGGGAGGCTGAAGGAGACAGCTTGCTTATTCGGCATCATTACTCTTAAAAAAATGACCAAAAGGTCACCATAATCTGCTAGCAGCATGGTCCTAGGTGTATGAACCCAGACCTGTTGAGCTGCATGTATGAAGTGCACTATTCAAAAATGCACACATTCTGCAGGAACAGCAACAATGAGGACTTGAGAGTTTTGCAAAGGCATTGAGGGAGAGGTAGTCTGTAATCCTTTTATTATACACTAAAATGTGTGAATGTTGGTAGTTTAATTTGTGGTGGGCTATGTGCTTCTATGGAAGGCGTGCAACCGTTTCTACTGTACGGTCGCACGTCTTTTGTCTTCCGAGCATGCTGGGAAACCTGCCGAAAATCGTAAGATTTTCGGCGGGTTAGTGGCGTGCTCGGAAGACAAATGCCGAACAGGCCGGTGTGCGCAAGCGCACACTGCCCGCTCAGCATTGCAGTCATCGGAAGCTCTCCCATCAGCGGGGCAGGCTTGCAATGATCGCAAGTACGATCTGCCTGTCCAAGATGGCCAGATCGTACGAGCTTTTAATTACCCTACAACCATCGCACAATGAAAGTTGTGCGATGGTTGTAAGGTGTATGGCCAGCTTAAGGGGTAGTTGTTACCCCTACTCATTCACCAAAAAGTTAAGTAAAATGTAAATAAACACACCACACATAGACAAAATCCTTTAATTGAACAAAAAACACAGTTTTTGACAAGTCCTTTAGTTTAAAAAAAAGAAACCATCCAACAATGTAATCCAGCGTCAATCACGTCGTCCAGCGTATTCCAGCATCAATCATGATGAACGATGCCCTCCCAAATGACAGCTCCTGCCTGAATGTAAACATTTGTTTTCATGCCATGACAGCTCACTGACCTGAAATGGCATGAAAAGAAATGCGTGGCGCAGGTTCCCTGGCGTTTTTGGTATCCAAAAATGTATTACAGCTACAGTAGGTGTTTACCAATGCCTCCTGTAGACTTTACACATTTGGTCTGTTTAGGCACATGTATACTTTAAATTTGGCATATGTCCATTCACTTTGTGATCTCAATACATATGTCCTATATACCATTCTTATACTACAGTATATTATAGGGTAATAAATTTATTTGTATATAAAGAAAGAGAACCGGGGGAAAAGGAGGGAAGGTTCAAGGCACAAAATATTCAATGACTTAATTGGAATGTGGGTCCCCTACGAGATAATTGTATAAACAAGAATGATTCCCCTACTAGGGGACCCCACCATTCCTACAAACAATAACGTGGATAACACCGATAATGTAAATACTATATATATTTAATGAGTTTAGAAAAGGCTAAAATGATTATCTGTATAAGACACTACATTCTAGGCATAACATCAACAGACAAAACATGTAAACAGACATGTTTTGTCTGTTGATGTTATGCCTAGAATGTAGTGTCTTATACAGATAATCATTTTAGCCTTTTCTAAACTCATTAAATATATATAGTATTTACATTATCGGTGTTATCCACGTTATTGTTTGTAGGAATGGTGGGAACCCCTAGTAGGGGAATCATTCTTGTTTAATAAATTTATTTCTGACTTTCAGCCCATATATTACCTGTGAAGGAAAGCTTCCAGTCCCTTTTGTTGATAAAGAGACACTGTTGATATCTAGTCCTTTGCCAACATTATATGATCCTGGGCCTGGATTTTCATTCTGCTATCAAAAATAAACTGCGTTACTCAAAATGTACTAAATGGGGACAATAGACCTTTATTTTTGCCATTTAATGTGTCTTACAGCAATATACAAAGATATATTAGCAATTTACAGTTTCTTATAGACGTGATTGAAATCTGTGCTTACACAACAATAGGTATGACACTAACTTTAAAAAACAAAAGAAGAAACTATGGAGGTTTTAATGAGGCTTATTGCAGATGGATTTCTAAAGAAGCATTCAGATTTTAAATATATACCAAAGCACATAACTACTCTTTGTCCCAAATGTGCCTTTATTTCGAAGAGATAGCTTTCCATAACACCCACATTCTCCATTACAGCTGAACTCCAGTCATTGCCATAATGCTCTCAATCCTAAACCACAGCTTTACCTTTGCCCAAACTTGTGTCTTTTTGCCAAAATGTACAGCATTTCCGTAAATGATTAACACAAAACTCATTGCAAGCCTCAATGGTGATGTTTCCACTTCTGACAACTGGTTGCCTCTGCTCCCTCTCCATTGGGCAGGATGACTGGATTTGTTTTTGCCCCTTTGCAGTTCAGGGAAGGCATCGCTGATGTTCTTACATCAGTGCTGCCTGTAGTGAGTGGATCCAGTCTGGTGAGCACACCAGTCTTGCCCCACCCAAGTCACTGGCAATACAGTTTGTAATCTGCAGTACTTCACAGAACCCTACTCCCAGTGCCTTGATTTAGCAAGAGAATTGGCTGCTTGGAGGTGAAGTTACAGTTAACAGTTCACATTTCTGGCCACTAATGATATTGATTTTAAGTATGTATAGACTGTGTAATTGGTGGGGGAGGATTTGAGGCAAAAGAGACTTCATACAGGAGTTTAGTATTACTATTTTACTTCATCTGCATGACTTGTGCCTATGTAATTTGTGTTTTTATGGTATCCATTTTTTGCACATGATGACTAATCTATGATGCTGTATATACATGTGCACTTTAGTGTATCTGAAGCCCACAACTTTATTTTATATTAAATGGGGTAGGAAGTGGTTAAAACACTTGTCAGATTTTTTTTTTTCATCTTCATTGCTGATATTTCACTTTACTTCCTGCCTGTGGACAAAATGACAAGTGAAAGGACACCTCTCCAAAGTGAGGGAAATACCCACTTAGGGATTAGATTTATCTATCTTCCTTTTCTGTTGACAATGCAATATTTTGGATTTCCCTTCGCTTTTAGTGACTGGTCACCAGAACAAACAGATAAAGTAAATTTTTCTTGCGTAACACATTTCCCTATTTTACCATGTAGGTTATACACAATTAAAATTTTGAAGGAACAAAATCGTTTTGGGAACATTCGCTCTACTTTCTAATCGTTGATGTGGTCAAATCGATGATTGATTTCAACCACAGTGATGAAAAAATTCAAATTTGAACAAAATTCTAACAGTGAATGTGGTTTTCATTTGGGAAACTCCATTCATCCCAAAATCAAATGTTAAAAATAAAGAAACTCAAATGAAATTTTGAACAACAATCGCCAAGTCTCTGATGGCAGTGTAGAACGTTCCACCCACTTTATTTTGTCCCTTCAGTCAATGTACCATTCATTTTAAACTCCTGGAGGGGCCCACAAGCAGCAGTCCCTACCTTCCCACTAGACCTGATGCCACACTGCTGCAAGAGCTGGGAGTGTTAGCATAACAGTAGCTGTAATTGTAGCCGATAGTGGAAGCGATGTTTAATACATTTCTATGTTTATGATACCTAGCATTTCTTACAAGAACACAAATAGCACAAAACAGTTTTAGGGGGCTCATTACAAATGATCTATATGTATGGACACCTTGGTAACCCTCAATAATTTTAGTCTTATTCCACAATCTCAAGTCACATTACAATACAATGAACACAAACACAGTGGCTTAAAAGCAGATATGTGAACAGTGAACAATTCCCTTTTTCCTCACCCCATCTGACTCAGATTTGCTCCAGGACTACTCTGTAAAGAAAACAGGGAGGGATATGAAGCAAAACAAAATTCAAACTCGCCTTGACTTCTGCACATTGACAGCTTAAGCTTTTAATGAAACCTGGATTCACGTCACCAAGGAGGAAGTTTCAATGGTATGTGCAAGCAGGGACAAAAAACACCTGTGTGTCTCTTAAGGCAGACTGCACTAATACTACTATGTTAAATAACAAGATGCTCAGATTCAAGCCTTTGTTTCATAAGGACCATTCTTAAAGGGAAACTATAGCGTATGTCACTGAATACAAAAATTAGTTTGCTTTTGTAACATTTATCTGCAACTAATTTTTGATGCAACTTACATTTCCATATGTTTGCTCTTTCTTATTATAATGTCTGCATTTCAGGTTTGAACCAATTATGTAGGAACAGTACCAAAATTCGAACTGTACTTCTGTGTATGTGCGTAAGTGTGAGTACTGGAAGAAGAGTCTTTAGGGTATAAACTTTTAGGGTTTAAACTAGCCATTCATCTTATTTTGCAGAGCACAGTTAAAAATTAAACCATTATTTTGACTGAAGGTTTTTTCTGCTGAAATCTTTTACTTTTCATACATAAGCCCATTTGCAGTTCTAAACACAGAAAGACACTTCCGATTTCGCTGCATATAAAGCAAACCTATGCTATTTTTACAAAACAATCTGGTTTCAAATTTTCAATAATAAAATCACTTTATGTGGTTGAAGAAGAACAGGATAAAACATGTATTAACTCTTTCTCTGCCAAGGCGTTTTTTTTGTATACATGTTATAATCCACATTTCAGGCCTGAAAATTACTTAAAACCTCCAATTTTTATATTGCATGATATTAGCACAACTCTTTATCAAACCCCAAATTTCTGTAAAAAAAATGCACTTAAGTTATTTTTAGTGCACAAAAACACAATATAATACCCAATTTTTTCTAAAATATAAAAGATGAGGTTGTGCCAAGTGCTGAGTGAAAAGATACCCAACATGCCAAAATTGTCCATAGGCAATGCTTTAAAAGCCCCTACAGATCATCTGTTTATAGTTATCCATTACTATTGGCAGTAGAATTACTGCTCTCACTCTGGCGAATGCGGTGATACCTAACAAGTGTAGCCAAATTGTAATTTTCAAACGTAGGCACACCCAACGAATGTTTACATTAGTATGCACACATTTGCGGCACTTTAAAAAAATTTCTTGGTAGGGATGCACAGATACTTTTCGAGTACCAGTGCAGATACTTGGCATTTTCATGAGAACTACCAGGGTTGCAGCGGTTGCAGCTGGGACCTGGCTCTGGCACTCCACCACTGTCCTGAAACCATTAGTTATTACTTAGGGGGGCTCATAAGCCCCCTATGTGATAGCACATTGGAGGTGACAAGTACTCTGTGAGGTGACACTAGGGCCTTTTAGACACCTAATGTCACCTTTGAACTTCAAAAAAGCTATTCATGCACAGATCGTGCTTAAATAGCTTCTTCCCTGGCTTCTTTAGCTGGGGAATGACAGCTGAATAGCCGGAAATTATGCAATCAGGCTCATTCATTCAAACAGATGTTCACTGGTCTCTCTTCCACTACCTGAGGAAGAGAAGCTCTGCTTCCAGAATCGCTTCCAGTGTAAAGCCAACAGTCAGCTTTAAACAGGTAAAAAGAGTCCTGATAGCTATAGCTGCCAGTAGTCTGTTCACAGGGGCCTGCTGCCAGCGACGTATGTGTGATTTCTAAGAGCAACTTGTATCCTGTGTTGAAAGCTAATACAGTGGGTTTGCTTTTACTACCCCTACTTACCCAACTTTTACTTATCTTACCTTTGCTCCCCTGTCACTCCATTCAACACCAGGAGCTAAAGGAAATAAATGGTACATCCAGGTATGGGGGGTGGGGGGTATGTGATTCACTTTATGTGACAGCACTGGGCCAATCAGTGCCCAAACATGAGGAGCCCAAATCCTGTATGAGCTCCAACTCAAGAGACTTGTAGCATACATAGTTTTTTTCTTTTTACTCCAATGGCTAAACAGAGTTGTGGGGGAGCATAAGGAAGGTAAAGTTGGGTACACTCAAAATTAATTTCGGCTGATTCCTGCTGTTGCATGGGAGGCATTAACTCTTCAACATAAGTCAATCATTAGACAGGGTCCTGCTCTCAGAATACAAAAGACATGCTGTTAGTGTGGATGGATGAATCTGTCAGATTTTTTTTGTTCGGCCTAAACGAAAAAATTATCTCCGTCTCTGTATACCCAACTTAAGTATATGTGTCTGTGTATGTTGGAGTTTAATAGAAGGATATGGACTCTCAAAGAATGCCTCAAAGAATGCAAAGGTAAAAAGCCAGTATATCCTTAGAGAAGGAAGCCTCATCTTATCAGAACTGTTTCTATTAAAAGCTGAACAGGTGAATGATCTATAATTACATAAAACATTCTAAATGTATCTTCAGAACGTTGGAAATGTGGTAGCTAGCCCTCAGGGTTGATTGCTCAAGAACTTAAGAAAAAATAATAAGGAACAAACGCAAGTCACAGGGTGTTGCCTCAAGTACTGATTCAGCCTACTGTAATGAAAGATTGATTGATGAACTCTCTTTTGAAATAGAGAATTGCAAATCATATATAAATTATGTAGAAATTGTTTTAGGTATGAAAAGGACATGATCTGACCAGGAAGCTATCATCTGGCTTTATTTCAAGTAGTAGAAAGTCTGCAAACTTAAGAACAAGCTCCACCTCAATCTAATATTTCTGAGTGGAGAATGTTGCAATGCGTTACCCACCAGCCCCAAATAGTAAGACTTCCTTGATGTAGTTTGTACTCAACCACAAAGCCACTTTACTCTCTCATTGCTGGACTCCCCAGCTTTTCTATATAATAATCCATGATCATATCCATCAGACAGAACTACGTATTCTTATGGAGATATCTTGCCAATGAGGATTTGATGATCTATAAATTGCCATCACGTGATTTAGGCCTCTTCACACAGGCACTGCTTGTTCCAATCAACAGGGGATCCGTGCACAGAGCAATATGGAACGGATGTCAATTCTGAACTAGCTGAACCCATGTTAGGTTTTTTGGCATCCCATTACCTCCAATCCTTCACAATCAGGTCAGCCAAAACAAAACTCTGTTATGTTTTTGGTTTTCTTTCCGGACCTAGCGGCAGTCGGGCTGCCCACAGTGTTACATTGGACGTCCTATCAGATCCGCCTGAAAAATTGACAGGCAGATCTGAATGGGCTGCCCATGTGAAAGGGACCTTAGTTTGCCAACAACAATTTAACACATTAATATCACATTTGAATGCAGTTGACCTTTTATTTTCAATAGACATACAAATAGACAGTCCTTGGATTTTATTTAGATATACAAATATGTGAGTGACTTGTGAAAACTGCAAATATTAATGAAGCAGTGAACTCTGCATCCTAAAATATGAGCATAGCTATATCAAAAGTATCCTAATGTTACCTGATTTAGACTGTAGGAAAATCTCGGTGATCTGGAGTTAAAACCATTCTGTTCTGACTCAGTAATAAACACGGTCTGGTATTTTGTAGGAATTGAGGAAGGAGTTGTAGGTATCTTGAACCCTTTAATGACAATAATAAAAACACAGAGAAAATGAAAAACAAAAGTCTAACTTTATGTTAAACCAGAATATAGACATCTCATTGGCAAGTTTATATGGTCATATATGGATAATCCCATATCATTATATCTACTAAGGCATCAGGCATTCATAAAGTAGAACTGAAGCCAAAGGTTTTGGGTAGAGTAAGGGAGGTTATGACCCCTCTCTTTTTTTGGCCTCTTTGTCCTAATGGGGAGGTTTCCCATCAGCAGGGTCACCAGAACTAGTGTCCCCATTGGAAGATTTCCCATCTATTCCTATTCCTGTTCTGATGACAACCCAAAATGTGTGATTTTCTTTTACTTTCAGTGATAATGGTCGCCAGGACAAATCGAAAGGGTGAATCTCCGCAATGGTGACAGAGATAGCAATAAAAATCTGACGGGTGTTCTAATCCCTCTCCGCTGTATTCAAAACTTCAGTTGCACTCTTAGGCCCCTTTCATATTGGCACCTGTCTCTTCCAATCAGCAGGGCATATGTGCATGAACAAATGGATGATATGAGTGCACATAGTGTGCCTCAATGAAATATGGGGATAACTGTAGCTGAGATGGTGGAGGAAAACATGCTCCTGTGTTGGCTGAAGGAAAAAATGCCCCTGCATTGATATGGTAACAGTTAAAGGAAGACTGCACTGGTGTAAATGTCAGCTCTGACGGGCCAGAGAGGTGGGGGGAAGCTGGTTAAAGAACTCTTAGGGGGCTCTGTGGCTGAGGTGCTCCTCCCACCCCCTGTGTACTTGCATGTTAGACCACTTTCTCAGTATCAGCCCCTGCAGCTTACCCTTCTTCCCCTCTCTATTCAGGGCAAATAACTCATTAGTAGCACTCTACTATCAGGTTTAATAAAAAATGTTTGAACATTGAGATGGGACCAGTAGCATACCCACTGTGACGGATGCCGTCATGCTCCCCCTACTAAGATGCCGTTTTATAGCTGAATTAGTTGTCTTTATACTATTACTGGGCATACAGCAGGGCTTCCAGAAGCCTCTTCTAATAGGAATATTGTTCAAAGGCCCCAGTTTACCACTGTTGTTGCATCGGTTATTTAAGTATCAAAATGTACCTGCGATGGGACCTAATATTAGAGCAGACTGAGAGGTAGGTATTTTAGGTTTGCTACATTATTTGATCTCAGACTGATCAAGCAGTGCAGAAAGAGCAGACTTTAAAATAAGTAGTCTCTGTTAAACCGGGAACACCAGTGATGTACAGTATAATAAAGCAAGTTTACTAACCTTATTTTCTTGGCTCTATTACTCTGATTTGACATGGCCCCTACTCTGCTGCCTTCAGGGAAAACGGTACTAGTAGTAATACTAGGTTACTGAATGAGCACAGGATATTGCTCAGACACAAGATTTCAAAACATATACTGATATTTTTGAAGTTAGTAAAGTAGTAACACATGCTTGTCTACAACATATCACTCACATACATGTCTATCTATGTGCATATTTTGTCAGGAACTCTAGATTGCATTCCTCACCTAGAAGAACCTGACAATATTCCCAATATATTGCAGAGCTGCAGGCAAGTTCTAAATAGGAGTAATAGACTGAAATAGCAGACAGAAAGGCAATGTTAATTGAGCATAGATCGAGAAAGAAGATGAACTACGTGACACTTGAAATTGTTCAAGGGGTGGCTAAAAACACATATTTGAGGTTTCTTTTTCTTGTTCTTTTACATAAAGCAACTTTTTATATTAGTTAACATTGTTTAAAGCAGAAATAAAGTATATATTTTTTAATGCAAGTTTAAAAAATTAGCATGCATGCATATGTGCATATTTGTGTTACCTTTTGCATTATGCATATTTTATTTATTTTGATGTTATCTTGTAAAGTCTGTTTATCAGCATTAGTGAGAGAAGATGACGTGGCACTACGATCTGAGGGAAGTGATTTAATCATTTCATCACTGGAAGTTCTCCATAGGCACTTTTTTATTCTTTGCCTTGACGTAACAGATCACCCTCCTCTTCATAGCCGTATACTTACCTTGATCGAACACCCGCAGCCTCCTGTGTTTGTTGACATACTCTTTACCTCTATTGTATGAGCAGCAGTGTTAAATGAGAATAATAAATCCTAATTCTTATTTACCTATATATTTTCTTTTATTTAAAGAACAAATATACTGAAGCATGAGACGCTTGTTATTAAGCACCCAGTAACACTTGAAAAACATAAATGTGGTTTTAGGAAACAAACTGAAGACAAATAGGTGGTTACCACAGGAGTGAGAACATTTAACAAACCAACCCTCTGAGGTAGGGCCTGTGTTGACAGACTTTTGTTAGTAGCAGAACTTCGTCTCTTCCCATACAAGCCAATGGGAATGCAAAAGCAGCCTGAAGTTGGTTGACGTATCTTAGGAGGAGGTCAGCTGCATGTCAAGAGGAGGTCATCTGCAAGTCAAATTCACCGGTCAATAGACTGCAAATAATCTCAGATGCCTCTCAGACTGATCATAGATGCAAGAATCTATCAGCACAAGCCCAAAGCCCATCAACACTGGCCCTATCTTTGTTGATTGATAGATAAGATTTCTTAAACAGGCCCAGTTGTCAGGTGTGGGAGTACACACATAAGAGGATGTGCCCAGGAAGCCCCATCAATTTTAGTTGGCTTGTCATTTGGTTAGAGGCTTATCTGGTCAATAAGACGGTTCAAGTATGGGGCAACTATTAATATTGCTAGTAAGTATTTGCATATTAGAGCACCTCTGATTTGCGGCATTCAAGAACACATCCAAAAGTATGTAGTCCTGGGGCCAATTAGTAGCAGGTAAAAGTTTAATTTTTACACATTTAAAACCCAACTCCAGTCTTTTTTTTTTGTACACAATAGAAAATATTTTTTTTTGTCAGCGCTGTGACATGTCCTTTCGACACACTTTTGCATGGACACTTTGTTTTGATATTAATGAATTGTTTTCAGGTGTGTAAATCATATAATTTTTTTCCTATTACACCTCTGCAATTTGTGATCTGCTGATAACATCTGACTGGGTTAAGTCAGTCAGAGAACAAAACAGAAACGAGAAATTACATTTGCTTAAATTGTGCTCTGTCATAATAGACAAGCTGCAGGAACAGTAGCTGGAGAGCAAGGGGTATAAGTAGAGGAAAGGTTGAATTCAAGCACTTATCTTTCCCTGCAGGGTATTTTGCTACTCTAAGATGTTCTGTTTAGGTAATCTTGATAATAAATCATAATGTCACATTCTTGTCAGTATAAACATACTGAAGCTTTTTCTTTGAATTAAACGTAGATCCAAATTTGGTTCAACCCTGCCCTCTAGTGACAGATAGGAAATAATATACCTGATCTCTTTCTATTAAGAGGCTTTTTTGCCATAAGCACACGTTTGGAGGTGGAAATTGTGTAAAAGTGATTTACATTCCGGTTGTCAATTCCAGTTGGAATTAAAACTCTATTGTAATATTTTACATTTAAATAACTTTGTTGTTCAAGCATTGCTCCATGTAGGTAGACAGAGGCAACAAAATGACAGAGGATAGTTTTCTTCTATAGGATTAATGGACTGTGGGCCAAGTATGTGTTGGAAAATATGCCCCTTCCCCTACCATTATATTACATTAATTTTAAAGAGACTCTATCAGGCCCCCAAACAAATGCAAACATCACTTCCCTGCAATAGAAGAGGTAGTATACCTCTCTGATGGCACGTCTTGTACTTTATTTCATCCAGTGCTACAGCCTCTGTGAGATGCTTTGGCATTCAACACTCCTGGGAGTATTGGGTGCCTATTCTCCACACTGTTGTGAATCTACCCTCTGACCCCTACACCACTATAGAACACAGCAGTGATATAGGGGCACAGGAAGGAGCCACATAACATGGCGGGGAGCACAGGCATCCGACACTCCCGAAAGTGTCAAAGGCCAAAAAGTCTAACTGAGGTTGCAGCATTGGAATGAAGGGAATGTAGAGGACATGGGCCACTGGAGAGGCGTGAATACTACTTGCATAGAAGTGCTGTTTGCATTTGTTCAGGGACCTGACAGCGTCTCTTTAACGTATTATCTACCACTCTTTTACATAAGCCACTTTGAAAAAATGATGTGGCCCTTCAGCATTAAATAATGGATTTACATTAGAGACTACACAATCCACTTATCAAGATTTCAGTTTCTAGTGATTTACACACGCTCTTTTTTTTTTACCTTAAGATTTCAGAATAAGGTATGTGAACCAGGACTAAATGTCTATAATTGGGACATTTAAATGAATAACCGTTTTTCCTACCTTTCCCACACAAGCAAAGAGAGAACACAAACTCCTTGCAGAGAGGGTCCTGACTGGGATCGTCCCCCCCCCCCCTTCCTGCCCTGCCGGGCCAGTGCTCAGATCAAGAGTCTGGTAGGACTGTTAGCGGGATCCCACGTTTTTTCCCCCCATTTTTGGGGGCTGGGGTTCCCCCTTAAAATTCCTACCAGGCCTAAAGGGTCTGGTAGAGATTTTGGGGGAAACCCCACGCACTTTTTTTGTGTTTTAACTTGGGGGGGGGGTCCCTTTTAACATTCCTACCAGACCTAAAAGGGCTGGTATGAATTGAGGGGGAACCTCACGCTTTTTTTTTTTCATCTTCTGCAAACTAAAAAAAAAAAAAAATGTTTTCCTAATGTCATTTTGCTGCAACGAAATTTCTTCCAAAAACGAAATTTCGACCGGCCTACCGCTAACGAATTTCGTCCGCATGCGAATTCCGAAACTAATTTAATTTCGGACCCGAATCCGAAAAACTAAATAATGCCAAATCCGAATCGAAACTAAACTAAACTAAACAAATTTTTTTGCTGGTGCACATGTCTAATATATAGCATGATTATATTGATAACATGCACTATACATAAATTGAATTGTGTGCTTATTGGTTTACGTACACTTTAAGGTATAGTTGCCTTTTACTGTTGGAAAATTAGATTCTTAAAGCTGTGGAAAACATTAAAGATGCAATTATTCAGTATTTTTGTCTAAAATAGCAATCTAAATACTTACAAAATCTACAAACCTATAATTGCTTCTCCTTGCATCTATCTACCAAATTCATGTATAATAATTCAAATGTTTGTACTCCTCTCTTTTAGGATATCTTGGCTTTGTACAAATGAACCAGAGAAATAAACTCTGCAGAGATGATGCAGCTGGCACTTTTCTTGGTTTACCCTGCTCTGTCAATCATCTTAATGTAGTGGAAGGGGTAGGCACAGACTGTATATTATTCACACTCCAATTGTAAAAACAATTATGTTAATTGGTTATATTTTCTGATTTAATTCTCCTGTTTCATTGTGACTAATGACTAATAAGGAACAATTATGGAGCTTGTGTTTGCTTGCCCGTTGTTGCTTGGAATTTATTTACATACCATGTAAATGCTATAGCATCTGTCATAAAAGACTAGGCTGGCACGGTTAGTCTGGCTGGATGCAGGGCTGGATTTATACTTCCTACATCCCTTTGCCAACTGACAAGGCTTATTGCAAGGCAAGGCTGTGGCTGTAAGTGCTTGCTCACACCATTGTGTTGCGGCGACACGTGTCGGTACACGTTTGTGAGCATTTGTTTCCCGTGTTTGCCGCGTGTCCCCATTGATTTCAATGGGTGCTGCAAGCACGACAAATGCGGGAAAGTCACCCATGTAGCAAAATCTGCTACACGCGTACCATGTTTTTTTCTGCGTTTTAACGTGCATTCACACATGGGTAAAAATTGTGTTTGCTTGACCGTGTTTGGGTGTCATTAACATGTAATGGCACCGCATGTGAGTTCTGCGTTTTTGTACAACCCCAATTCCCAAAAAGTTGGGACACTGTGTATTTTATAGGAGCAATCCTTTTTTTCACTCTATTTCTCACTAAGGAAATCATAG